GGCGGTGGTGGTGGTGGTGGTGGTTACACAAACTGGGCAAAGCTATTCCTGACTCAAATCGCCCGACACCCGACCCCAACTTGATACTAAGATGATACTATCATAAATGCGTTGGTTTCTGGCCCTGGTTTGTCTGCTAAAAGCAAGACTTAACTGGCCCCGCTCCGCGAGCTTTCGTGATATCGTAGAAACGATCGGTTAATGGCAAAATTGAGAAAGCATTAAAGTGGACGCCTGCCGTTCCGCCGGGTATTGGAGATGGCTTTGGTCTGGGCGATTTCGCAAGGCGGCCTTAACTGAACACTGTTCATTACATTCACTAGATGCCAATAACTTCAGGTCACATTGAGTCGCACTGCCACAAAGGCTTTGTGAGAGGCACTTCTGGGGCAGCCGCTCTTCTCTTTCAGTGCTGCCTGGCCGTAAGTTTGCACTTTGACACTTAGACGGACAAAGAGACCGGTGCCTTTTCCGCTGCGGCCTGACACGACGACAGGTCAAGATGACGAGAGAGGGACTCAATCACAGAGTCTGGCCACAACTGCTGTCATTTTTGAACTTGCCAGGCACCGAACAAGCGTGAGAAAACAAAGCCGCCGGCCTGAGCTTTCACCAAGACCACCTTCCGCCGCTTCTTACCACGTTCCGGACTTGCGGAAGCTGAACGTTTTGAACCTGACACGCAGTGCAACTGTCGACGTGAAAGAAGTAATGAAGGTAACGAGTTCAGCAAGAATAGCATCAGACCCGCACGAGCCATAACAAGCGCCGCTGGCAGATTTGTGTAGACTCAGAGCAATCAACTAAGCCCGAGCCTTCAAATGGCTTCGGCTGCATTGCGCAGTGTGCGGCGAATGCTTTGCTGAACCACTAGAATGTGTCAAGAAACACAACATGGACATGACACGTGTAACTGTTTTTCAGCTTGCGGTACACAGCGGCCGGCTGCGCAATTCGTGCACAACCGACTTTCCAACCGGCCACATGAACTACCCCACAGCTGCAAACATGGACAAACTGTGTCAGGCTGAATGACAAATGGGTTCAGCTTCACCGACAAACTAAGTCTCTTTCTGCCGCTGGTGGGCTTATCGGCCTTCGGATTAACGATGAATCGAACAGATGCTGTGCATTGCTTCTGCGGAACGCCGAGGAGGACATAACTGCAAGAAACAGGCCAAACAAAGTCTGATTCTGCGAGCGCACCATCTCTGCACAACGAAAACCGACATCAGTGTCCTTCGTCGAGCGAACTGATATGCTGCCCCATCTATTCACAGGCGAAGCATTGCACTGGTATTCAGCAGACGGCAATTTCAGTAGTTTCGTAGTAACACAGGACAAGCTTCGGCCTGTCTTGCTTATGTGCAGTATAATGACAGGTCAATGAAAAGTCCAGGCCAGCTTCTTCAAGCTAGACGGACGTGCATTCCGACGTAGCAGAGACATGACAGTGTCGGACGCTCAGAGCATGCTGCTCTTCATTAACATGTTTCGGCAAGGGCCAGCCCTGCCAAAGACTCTAACCTGCACATGCACGCCATTGCACAGAAAATTACGGCTGCAAGGCATGACAAGTCTGTGATGCTGCTGCTGAGATGGACTGGGGTAGATTTTGTACCGTCTGAGCGCGGAGCAAAAGGATGCGTGGCAAAGTCACAGCTGTCTTCCAAGATCCCTGTCATGTGTGCCGACAAATCCGAACTCCCAAATGTCCGGCGTGTCCTGATGCTCCAAGATGGAGAAGACGCGACCTGTCGCGTTTTCCACACATTACAACCAAAAACCCGGGGGCGGACATGGCAGGCTTCAGCCTCTGCTCTGCAGGGCCTCAAGGGACGCATTTGCTCCCATCCGTCAAGAAAATCACTGCACCCGACGGCAGACCCCGAGTCGGACACAAGCTTTTGCTGGTATCCCGTCTAGTGGCTTGGTCTGCTTTCGCCTGTGTCTGCATATCAGTCATGTCCCTCAATCTGATTTGGTAACACGACCGCCTTCTCATGAACTTGTGCAAGCGTCTGTGGTGTTTCCTTGCTGAGGTCTTTCCGCCTGCGGCTGTCTGTCGTCGGCAATCAATGAATTCTGTCTCTGTCTGGATGTCGTGTACCTCGAGATAACTCCAACTAACTACTGCTTTCAGCCCCGCACCGTTTCGACTTCCATCCGCCGTTTCGCAGGTCAAGCACGTCCTCGACATGCTCTCATGACAAAGCCGCACACGCACACATCGAGAGCGCCTGGAGCAGGCAGCGAACGCGTCGAGGCACTGTCTGGTCGGAACAAGCCCGAGTAACCTGGCGTCGCTCAGAAGACGCTGCATTCTTTATTTCTATGGAGGGTTTCGTGACGCAAATTATTGCAACACGAGACCAGGACGAGCCTGCACTGAACCATCATCAAGACCATCAGGATAGCGGCATACAATAGCCCGGGCAGTTCAAGGGGCTTATCGGAATCACACAAGATCTTTCGGAACCAACTTCAAACCATACAGTGGGAAACCGAACATGCCCGATCAAACGGCTCAACGCAAAGGTCAACCGGAGCTCGTTGCATGTCACCATTATGGGGGCTTCTCTATAGAAGAACTCGAAGTCGTTCTCATACAACAAATTCCATCCACCAGGCCCGGGTGCCAGCGGATCTCTCCAAACTCTTGTGCGAAAGAACAGCTTTTTGGTAACTTTAGCCAGACCTGGGATTTTTCGATCACACTGCCCAGCAGGCCAGAAGTTTTGTTTTATCCATCTCCGAGGGAATGACTCGAGCTGTTACAGATCCATCACGCTGTTTGACGCGGTCTATAAACCACGGCGTGCAGATGGAGAACAGAGGAGGTACGACCAAACTGCTGTTTGTGGAAGAGCCATGGACCAGAGTGGCCCCATACCATGACCACATCGATCCACCGTTGCAAGGGTCTCAATCCAGTGGTTCAGGCTGCTTATGGTGTACTGAGGATGCCCCGTAGCTGCGGTGTGGTTTTACTTAGATGTGGGCATAAACTACATCAAGCGCTGGAACGTCCCTTTGTGCCAGGTGTTTGTAGCTACACTGTTTAGTGCGAAGCAGATTGTTTACATTTTCGAAGATAACCCAGAATATCCGCAACGATAATATTGGGTCTGAGGGGACAACTGTGCGTGGTGCCTGCTGCTACTGAACCTTCGGCCACGTTGCCGTGCATCGGGTGGGTATGGTGTGCTGGAATTCCTTGGGAGCCTTTGATGTTGCATTCTCTTCCAGAGACTAGGTCCACCAACCGGAAGCCTACGGTATGGCCTGGGACGAAGGCTAGACATGGCACCAGCAGCCAGGCGTGCAGCAAGAGCATGCAAGAAGAAACCGTTTTGGGGGATTTTTTCAGTCGCCGTGAGACATGCTGTGGAGAATTTGGCACTCGTGGGACGGCAAGCTGGATTTTCATGGCCTCTCAGGCTACATTTGTTGCTATGGGCTTTGCTCTTCATCGGACAAACACTGCACCGAGATATACCGACATTCGATCGGAGTATGACTCCCGACGATGAATGCCTAGCGAAGGATTCCCACACGGGGGTGCACCAAAGCTGCGACTAGCTTCGAACTTTATTGTGCGCAGTTGTCCAAGCAACTGGAAGAGCACGAAAATTAGCACAGATGTCAAGAAACCGAACAGGGGCTCTTCTACGGCACCTGTATTCCTGTTTGCTTCCTCCCTGCTGGAAGCAGATCGGTATTTTTGAGGCTGGCAATATCCATCGAGTGTTTTTCTGTGACACATCGTGGTGCCAATGCCTGCAACAGAAGCGATTTGCTCGAGAGAAAGGGCCTGCTCAAAAACCAGCTCGAGCTCGTGGTGATGCTTCCAGCCTGGCAGGACTAAGCGGCCCGAGCGCCACCCTCTGAGCTGTAAGTACAAGCAGGCCCTACTTGGATCATCAAGGGCGACACCCACCGTCTCCTGAGAGTTGCAGAATTTGCAGCTATCTCGACCAAGATCTGTCACAAAGCTCGAGGTGCCCGCCAAGAAGGTTGCTAGAGTTTCCAGGCGCTCGCTGCGCACTGCAGGATCATCTCCTTAGTTCCGGGGCTGTGACTCTTCCAGGATCTTCCGGCAGCATCCTTTGGGCATCCGCTAGCAAGCTCTGATGCCACGGCGATGGCGATCTTTGGCGCAAGCCTCGGGCGCAGAGGAGCCATCAGACCGTCGAGCACTTTCGGCAGGAAGAAGAAGCGGACTGAGTTGGTGACATCCCGTGGCGAATGAGCTCACCAACTAGCCGGATGTTTCCCAACATCTTCGTCTTGTACTTGACCTATCGAGCTCGCACTCGGTGCGCTGCTCGACTTAGACTTGGCCTCGATGGCCTGAGCCTCGTAAAGATCATCCCCTGTCAGACCATCAAAGCCCTCAGGAGGCTCCAAATACCTGCCACTAGCACCAGCCCTCGAAGCAAAAAATTCAGACAGGGCAGGGGGCACTGCTCGAAGGAAGATTGACATTGATTCAGAAGCACGCGCTTGAAGTTGCTTTGCGACCTCTGGCCGAAATCCTGTGCGCTCTCGTGCCACTGCCTTCGGATCGCTTTCGGCTTCCGGCTCAGCACCGTCGATGTGATCATTTTCCGTCAGCCACTTGTGTAGCTTGACACACAAGCCCACATACCTTGAAGAAACAGCAAGCTCGTCAACGCATGCACTTCCAGTGGCTGCTCAGGGCCAGGTACATGTTGATGAAGTGGTGCTGGGTGGTGGCCTGCAAGGCTGACGATTCTCATTGTGGTTTCAGTGTCGTTTAAGACTGCCTTCTCAAAGACCAATTGCATAAGCAATGGAATTCCACGGTTTGGACGGTCCGACTGCGAAACCAGTTCGATGATTTGATCCGACCTGATGGCGCGCAGATGGATAGCAGAATAGAAGATCTCCACAACACAAAGCCAGAAATTTCAAGGGCTCCTCGGTTTCAGGCAAAGTATCGAACTTCTCCACCTCCAAGCTCGGAAAACAGCCACACGTCGCTTGGAAGAGATCTCGAGAAATCAAGGCAGCCGCCGTGAGCTTGTTGAGAATGGATCTCAAGTTTTTGACGAAGGAATCATCGGAACTTTCTTTGCTCAAGGCCTGCAGCTCGGAGCCCCATTAAGGACTACAAAGTCGAAGCTGCCAAGCGTGAGGGCCTTTACCGGGCTGTGGCAGTTTGTAGTGAAATCTGTTAGCGAAGTTTTACGACATGCTGGTGGGAGGGGGGGCTGCATCACTGGAGACATTGCGTCATTTTATGTTGGGGGAGGTGACAGGGCGGGTGGCAAATCACAACAACAACAACAACAACAACTGAAAAAGTAGACGAACTCAGAAGTCTACACAAACAGAGCTCAACCCTGAAGTCAGCGAAGCACTCAGCGAAGTCCTCTTTAGCCCAAGCGTCTTGAGCCACACGCGAAGTGTGGAAGTGCAGGTCACAGCTGCAAGACTGTACCAGGGAAGTGTGCCAGAAGTGTTACATCTTGACAAAAACAACAACAACA